ATAAATATTTCATATGTGTCTGATTATTTCCTAGTTGCACAGTTACAACATTTTAAAAAATCCAAGCATTTTAAGGCTCTGGAAACATTTTGTCATTTGACTTATAGAAAAAGTAAACCAGTTTACAATCCTACCAGAAGAATATGAGCATGTATGTCATTATATCTTAGCAATACTGAAAACTGTGATCTTGTAATCTTTGCTAGGGTGTTACGTGGAAAATGCCATCAACTTGTCACTCCAGTTAGTTTTCCTTTGATTACTTGTGAAGCAAGAACAATTGGTTTTGCATGTTTATTGGCTGGCTAATATTTTCTTGTTTGAAAACTAATAATTTCTTTTCCCCATTTAACTATAATAATGGTAAGTTTGAGATACCCATCAGACATCCAGGTGAGGATATTGAATTGGTGTGTGAGCCTGGAGTTAAGCTCTCTATATATTTGGTGGTTGTTAATATAGACATGGTATTTGAAGTCATAAGACTGGGTCTTAAAAAAAGGAAGAGGACCAAAGACTAAGTTCTGGCACTCCAATGGTAATCAATAGAGATGAGGAAGGACAAGCAAAAGAAATTGTGAAGAAGCAGTCACAAAGTAAGAGGAAAATCAAGCAAGTGGTGTCCCAGAAAGCATTTCAAGGAAAGAGAAATCACTTTGATGTCTCTGAGAAGGCAAATAAGATGAGGACTATGACTTGACCGTTGAGTTCAGAAACGTGCAGGGTCTGGGGGATCTTAATGGAAGCTGCTCTGGTAAAGAGGTGGAGTTCTTAAACTTAACTGTACTGAGCTCAAGAGAAAATCGGAAGAAAAAATTGGAAGTAGTGCATATATAGAGCAATCTTTTGAGTTTTGCTACAAAGGGGTAGGGAGAGCTGGGGCAGTAGCTGAAGGCAGAAGTGGGGTCAAGGGAGAGCTTTTTCAGTATTGTAGAAATAACAGTATGTTTGCATGCTGAATGAGAAAGATCCAGTAGAGAGAGAGAAGATTGATCATGGGGTGGAGAGTTAGGAGAATTGCTGGAGTAATGTCCTTGAGCAGGTAAGGGTACAGGGGCATCAAGTGGAGAGAGAGAGAGAGAGAGAGAGAATCCTGTACTAGGAGCAGAGACCATTTATCTCAAGTAGCAGGAGAAAAGACAGAGTGTTTGAACACAAATGCAGTTACGCTGGTGGATTAAGACAGCAAGAGCTTGTACAAGTTCTCTCCTGTTTCTATTTTGTAGGTGAAATAATAGGTAGCAAAGGCATAGCTGAGGGTGAACATCAGGGAGGAGATATTAGAGTTCTGAAAAGAAAGGTCACTGAGGATAGAGAATGGACCAGGGCAATAGACCATGACCGTCAGTCAGCAATAAAATTCCTCTTGAAGACTGATGATTAATTTAAAGTGAAACCTGTCAGCATGTTTGTATATTTTTCTCCAGCTACATTTAGCTGTGCTGGTGCTGGTGGAAGCAGGAGGGAGGTTGAATTTAACCAGCACTGCAGTTTGCCCAAAGGAGTAAGGTGGATTAAGAAAGGGGCAAGGAAGTTGATTATAATGATTAACTATTGAATTCAGTGAGATATGAGATAGAGGAAAACACTGAAGTCTGCTAGGCACGGTGCTAAACATATGCATTATCTCATGTAATCCCAACAGTAATCCCATGAAGGTGCTTAGCCTTCTTTTACAGGTAAAGAGACTGAGGTTTAGGAAGACCACCAGCATATCTTGGAGATATGGTGGGCTTGGTTCGAGACCACCAGAATAAACTGAATGTCGTAATAAAGAGAGTCACACAAATTTTTGGTTTCCCAGTGCATATGAAAGTTACATTTGCACTATACTGTAGTCTATTAAGTGTGCAATGGCATTATGTCCAAAAAAAAAAGTACATACCTTAATTTAAAACACTTTATTGCTAAAAAAGGCTAACCATCATCTAACAATGCAAGGTTGCCACAAATCTTTAGTTTGTAAAAAAAAAAAAAGCGGTATCTGTGAAGCACAATAAAGCAAAGCCCAATAAAACAAGGAATGTCTGTAAAACTTGCTCAAGGCTACACAGCTGATAAGTGACAGATCCAGCATCAGATCCAGAAACACTGTTCTCCAAAGGTATGCCCTTAGCCTTATTATAATTTGCTTTAACTAGAGCACAAGCAAGCATTTTTTAAACTGATGCATTAACAGAAAGGAAGCTAACTTTGTCCAATATATTTTTATTAATATTTTTCCAACTTATGTTAATTTTAAGATTTTTGATGGACAGAAATTTTTAAAAGTTTATAGCAAAATCTATTTATTTTACCTTATCTTTAATTCCCATCCTGAGATTAAATAATCACCTATATTTTCTTTCAGCTTTTTATCTATTTATTTATTTTTACATTTGAATCTTTAATCGATTACAAATTAATATCATATGTGTTTTATGGTGAGATGCTATTTTTTTTACAGCTTGTCAATTGTCCTAGCACTAATTTTGAATAACTTAATCCTTTTCTTGATCATTGGTAATGCACTTTTATCGTATGTTACAATTTTATAAACACTTGGGTCTGTTTCTAGAGTACCTATTTATCTTTCTTTGTATTTTTAAACTTGTAAGGGAATATTTCACCTGACCACTCTTCCTTTCCAAAAATTTCTTAGACAGTCCTGCAGGTTTGTTCCTTCAGATGCCCTTTAGAATTGTTTTTTTAAGTTCCTAAAATATCTCCCTGAAATACTAATTTTGATGATACTAGAGTAGTGAATTAATTTGGCAGAATGGCAGGTTCGCAGCATTCAATCTACCCATTCAGGAACATGGCACATCTCTATTCAAGTCTTAATAAAATGAAATAATTTTTTCACTTAGGTTTTACACATTTTTAAAAGGATATTTCTAGGTATTTTTTGGTTTTATGACTATTAAGAATGGGACCTGGTTTTCTCCAGTATATTTTCTAGGTGGTTATTTCTAGTACCTGATTTCTAGTTGCTGATTTAGAGACACTTTTTATATTCTTCCACCTAAACTGAAACTCTTAAATATAAGAATTTCTAGTTAATTCTTTTGAATTAAAAAATATAGTATCATGCTCTGCTCCTCATAATATTGGCAACTTCATCTATTTTCTAATAGTTTTACTTCTTATCTATATTTTACACTATGACTATAGTTACTAAAACTTAGACAAAAATGTTGAAAAGAAAAGGTGCTAAAACATATATCCATAAAATTACTGTTGAAGGGATGCCTCTGGTGTTTCACTCTAACCTTCAGTGTAATACTGGCTGTCATCTGAGACTGATATTCATAAGCAAGCTCAGGTAGTTGGCTTGTAGAACTAATATTAAAAATAGTTTTTAAAAATTAGGAATATATCTTGAATTTAATTGAATACTATTTTGGCATGTATGATTGGTCTTTGAACTACCAAAGAGATAATCATTTGTGTACTTGTTGCCTTTTTATAAATAGATTTTAAAAAGTCATCTCTTACTACTGTAAAACATAAAGCAGTCATATGAACAGCAATAAAAGGCAATTATCACATCCTTACTTTTTACATTTAGAAAAAGCTGTAAGAGCATTTTATACTTAGGTGTTTAAAAAGTCAAATGTCTATGTTTCCAACATAACATTTTCACCAGGCTAGAATTACAAAGGTTGGTTGGTTGGTTGGTTTGTTTTTAGCAGCTTACAACAACTATTTTATTTTGCTGGTGATTTTGTGGACAGGAATTTGGGAAGGGTTTGGCTGAGCTTTTTATGGGGTTGTCATTGGATGGTACTGGGGCCGTCATTGCCAGGCTGGACTGGGCTGGACATCCAAGATGGCGCACTCACGGGGCTGGAGCTCAGCTGGGGCTGTGGACCAGAGCACCTCCAGGTGGCCCCTCCATATGGCTGGGCTTCAAGAGGGGTGTCCAAAGAACCAGTGCTCAAGTCCAGAGATCCAGGTGACCTTGATCTTCAGATTCTCCAGCACATAAGCCAACCAGCTGGGGACTTAGGAGTCACCGCAAGTTTTAAGAATTGCTGGGCTCCCTTCCCCACAAAGTATTTTAACTAAAATGAATACTTGTCGGATACCCATTACATGCAAGAAAAGCTCAGAAGCACTACAAAGGAAAAAAAGATAAGCAAGGTGGGGTCCTGGCCTCCCAGAGGCTTGTAGACCTATAGTGGAGGGAACAAGACAAAAGCCCAAATGAGTGAGGGTAACAAGCACCAGGACAGCACAGAGGAGTGAACGGTCACTGCTGGTGGGAAAGAAATTTAATTATTTTTAGCAGCTGATGCCACCAAGCAGCATATTAAAAACCAGTGGCTACCTAGTCTACACACACACCATCACTCTGAATATTGTTAAAGGGTCAGTAGCTCGTCACCATGCTGCTCCCAGAAAAGCCGGCAACAATGAGAGCATGCTGCCCAGGTCTCCTGGAGGACCTTCTTGCTATGTTATCATCTCTGCTTGACTAAAACATAGTGAAACATGGAGCTGACATTTATTTTCTGAGCTTCTGTTATTATGTTATCCCATTAGTGGTTTTTACCTTTTACGATGCTCTCATGGAACTGAGATTCCTCTATTGCTGACCAGATGCACCCCTAATTGGAGAGAATACAGTTGCATACCGTGTTTAGGAAGGTATGTATTAATGGAATGTTTTAAAAGGCTCTCCAGATTGTTAGCTTGGATAGCCTTCTTCCTGGGTGCTGACCCCTCTTGGCTATGGGACATCCAAGCCATCTCTATCAATCTAACTGGTTTGCAGTTTTCCTGATTCTCTGTTTACCAATAAAATGTCTCTTAAACCAGTCTTAGGGAACAGAAGGCTTAGTCAAGTCCTCAGAAAGAGCACAACTGTGTACCATTCAATAGACTGTGAGCCACCAAAATTGTAGCTAGGAACTGCCTTGGGTCCCTTCTGAAAGGCTGACAGGTCATACGAGCCAGGCTACTTGATCTCCTGCTGCATTTCACTTGTAAAATGCTATTAATATCTGCCATCAATTCCTCTCAAAGGAGTGTATAAAATTTTCTGGGTAGGAATATTGCATTTAATCATTTGGTTACACCACTATATGAGTTCATTTCAAAAACTGCTGTGACTGTGAATGTGTTTGTTCACTTATACACACACACACACACACGTGTTGCCTCCTGACAGTTGCGTTAACACAATGATTTTTTTTTATTTGGATAGTATTTGTATTTGGAAATGAGTGTTAATCTTTATACGGATTTACCAGTCTTTGATCAACACATTTTCACAATATCTTACAAACCCATTTCATTGAATTAATTATAATTACTAAGGAGGACTCTCTAGAAATGGTTTGGCTTATAAAATAAGGAGCTTATCTGGAAGAGTGGTCCAGAGTTTGTTATATGACAAGCATTACTCAACAGCAAGGTCCATTTTAGTGTTAATTCTTATCATCAGTCCATTTCATCAGGAAAGGCTCTAGTTTCTTCTTAATCTTATGAATCTGTTTTTCACTCCCACCAAATAGAATAGAAATTTTTATCAGAATGAAGTTACTAGAACTTTGGGATTTTCTTCTTTCTCCATGGAATCTTTTGTTTTTTTCCCAAACCTGAACCTGAAAATAAGATAAGTGCTAAAGAAAATTAAATATTTAAGACTTCCCTCCTCAAAATGCCAAAATGACACTGAAAAACAGGTATCCAGTCAATGAACAGGTAATTATTTTAACTCTAATAAGAACCTCATGAGCCTAGAAGTAGTCTTCTGTGATGTTACAGTTTCCCTGAGGAAAGAGTAAAGTGGCAAGCACGATGGTCTTGGCAAGTTAAAGTTGATGTTAAAGTAGTTATTTTATTAGAGGAAACAGCTTATCAAAAGTAGGCACCTTTTGCTGTCCACATTCAGTCTGGGGTCAGAATCCATTCACATATGGACTTATTTTTATCAAGCCAGGCATTAAAAACACTTTATCTTGTATAACCTCACAAAAGCAATATGAACTATTCCCACACAACAGATAGGAATACTGAGGTTTAAAGAAAATTAAGCAATGTGCCCAAATTTATGCAGTAGATTTGGAATTTGAGGTCAGGCAGTTTCACTCTAGAATCTCAACTTCTACCATACTACTAATCTTTAAATGTTTGCCAGTCTATGATGTCATAGAAAGATATTTGATATTTCCCCCTAGTTCCTGACTCAGAGCTCGTAAATCTCTTGTGATGTCCTGAGTGACAAGCGTAACAGGAGCGCTTTGCCTCTTATTCTAATGAGGCAGCTCTTGTCCCTAGATAGCTTCACGAGGAAAGCTGGTCTCCAGAAAGACCAATCCTTGACTAGAAGCCTGGAATTTTCAGCCCACCCACCAACCTCCAGGGAGGGGAGAGGGCTGAAGCTGAATTAATAATTGATCATGCCTATGTGATGAAACTTCCAGAAACCCCCCAAAACACTAGGGCTCTGAGAGCTTCCAAATTGGCAAACATATCCATGTGCCAGGATGGTGATGCTTCCCAACTCCTCAGGACAGAGGCTCCTGTGCTCTGGACCCTTCTGAACCTCACCCTGTACTCTTCTTCATCTGGCTGTTCATTTGTATTTATAACAAATGGGTAACAGTAAGTAAAATGTTTTCCTGAGTTCTGTGAGTCATTCTAGCAAATTCCTGAACTTGAAGACAAGGGTTGTGGAGACACTGGTCTTTGTACTCAAGATGGACACGTTGGGGCTCAGGGCAGGTTGCCCCCAAATATGCTACAGGGCATATCGATTAATTTTTATTGAAGTTGCTTGTGAAGCAGCCAATGCAAAAAGGAAACTCTGGCCTCCTCTGCAACCCTGAAAGCAAGAAATAAATCTCTCCTCTCATGTGAAAGGTGCACTTCCTGCATCTGGATGTAGGGGTTCACACTTACTACCAGAGAGAGACAGGGAATTCAGGGCTGGACCAAGATGTCTGTATAAACAAACGTTGTTATTTCTTTACAAATTTACTACCCAAGCTCAAACTTTGCTTAAATTCCTTACTAATTAAGCACCCAAACCTAAGTTTCTTTGTCCTGTCAATCCCTCTCAAATTTATTGTTTGTGTGAAAGGTGTAAACGCTGCCTTCTTTGGCCACTTCTTAGGTCCTATTTCTGTGAAATTTCCATGAACATTAATCAAAATTTATTTCTTTTTCTCCTGTTAATCTGATTTGTATCATTTTATTATTAGTCTAGCCATAAGAATGCAAGAGAGGTAGGGCATAAATTTCCACCTCCCTGACAGTCAAAAGTGTGGATAACCTTGGGGACCCATTACTTGCAACTGGAGTGTGAAGAGAGGGCTGTCTCACGGGATTGAGACTTGAACCTATGATGCTAACTTGGGTAGTTAGTGTCACAACTGAATTAACTTATAGGACACATAGTTGGTGTCAGAATTGCTCGAGGTCAGGAGGAAAAACCCTCGCACAATCTCACAGACCAAAAGGTGGATGAGTATTTCTTTTTCATGTATATGTTTTCCACTGAAATTGCCTTTTCTATAAAACTGCTTGCTCATGACCTTTGCTAGTTTTCCTAGAGTTCTCAGTTTGTCTTTTTTCCACTCGTTGCTAAGAGCTTCTTGTGTATTAAGTTTATTAACCCTATGTCTATAGTGTGTGTTGCAAATATCGTTCCCCTGGTTTGTCAACCTTTGCCCTAATTGACTGTTTCATTTTTGTTGCACCAACAATTTCTAAAATTGCATAATCAGATATATTAATCTTTTCCTTTATGGCTCTTTACTTTTTATATCATGCTCAGAATGGCCTTCTTTAAGGATATGAAAATGTTTATGTTTTCTTCTGGTACATTTATGATTTTACAAGTTTAGGTCTTAATTTTTAATCTTTCTGGAATTTATCTTGATATATTTTGAAGTAGGATTCAAGATTTTATTTAGCCAAAATAATTAGCTGAATTTTCTATCATCCTGTACTGAGTAATCTAACTTTTCTCCACTGACTTTGAATTGCTACTTTTCATCATACACTGAATTCTCATATTTTCTTTGGTTTAATTCTGAACTCTATTCTATTGCAGTGATTTATTTTCCTATAACATTATCACATTGATTAATATGCTTTATTTACTGTTAGAGCTCCTCTCCCCTTATTACTCTTCCTTTTCAGAACCTTCCTAGCTATTCTTGCATGTTTATTCTTTCTGAGGAATTCTGGTATCATTTTTTAAAGTTTCACTTACCCTTTCACTTTCTGCATCTGCTCTAAGGTCTCTGGTAGAGTCATTCCAACTTTCAGGGAAAAAAAGGGTGATGATTCCAATCAGGACAGTCAGGCTTCCCATGAGGATGTAGGGCAGAACTCTGTTGTAAGCACCTGTAAGGCATGGGACAAAATCAATTAGATACAGGAATTATTCAGATGCTCTTGAGAATCATTTTATAAAGGTGGCAAACAGTATTTAAGAGCAGCTTTAAATCTGAATATTTACAGAAGAAAAAAAGCACGGAAAATGTCAGTTTCTGTTTGGCAAATGTCATTGCCCCCACATTTCCATAATCACTCACCTACCTGGTTTTTGCATTATCATGCAGTCGTTCATGTCAGCTGGTATTCTCTAAGCTTCTACTTAATTATGTGTGATAGATGTTCAGCTGATAGAAATTTCTGCCTACCAAAGTGGTCCTCTTGGACATTGAAGGTCATTGGAGATGGGAGATGGGAGGACACCAAGGGGCAAGAGGTTGACTAGGATGTTGCAGGGACAGGTAGTGGCTGTTATGACTGGTTGGACATTTGCTTTTGACCAAATCAGTAGGCTAGGTCCACAGAGCTGTGAGACTCTTTTAAAAAACCTAAGTAATATTTTTAATCCAGTTTAAATCAAAAAATTTCAGGCACTGTGGTTTCTGTTTGCAGCATTTGTATATCTTGGTTTTATATGAAATTGGAAGAACACTCCACCTCTCCTTTATCTGGTGTTACTTAGACAGGAAATAATAGATCCTTATCTTGCTCCCCTTCTGCCTACAGAGATTACACAGTAACAACACACCCAAGAATTTTATTTGACAAAAATGTTCATCTTGAAGCTTCTCTGAGGTCTCTGTGTCATGAACAGGAGTAGCTGTTGTGGAACAGAAAGGTTTTTCTCAGACTCCTCCATTTCTTCTGTACCAGTGGTCCACCATTAGGCCACATGACCATGCTTTGAAAGTACAGGGAAGAACAAAGGGGAAATGACACCAAAATATATAATAAAGGACTTTCTCAGGTATTGTTCAGGGCAGCTGTGTGGAATATGTTTAAAATAGGAAAATGCTTCTCTTTCTCTGTAAGGATTTAGAGTGTACTTTTTCTGAGAATTCGTGTATGTCTCTGAGGATGTGTGTGTGTGTGTGTGTGTGTGTGTGTGTGTTTGAACCAGCAGGTAACCTATGGACGACTAGGAAGAATAAGGAGCTGTGTCTACATCTCTCACCAGTAGCGTTCCTGATGGGGATTAGGCTTGACGTGCCAGAGCCTACATCCAGTGAACACCCTACTAAAGCCATTCTGTAGTGTTATTCCAGATGGATAAATTTGATTATGTAAAAACTAAAATTTCCTGCACTGCAAAAAATGTCATAAAGTCAAATTGTAGATGATAAACTAGGAAAAATATTTACAATATATATACAAAGGGCTAATATTTTTCAATTACAAAGAGCTCCCACAAATCAAAAATAAAAAGTTGAATAAACCATTAGAAAGATGAGCAAAAGACATGAACAGTCAGATCTCTTAAAAATAAATAGAATGTCAATAAATACATGAAAAATCTCTCAGTCTCATTCATAACTGAAGAAAAGGAAATGAAAGCAACAATGATACCATTTTTCACATAGCAGATTATCAATGATTAAACAACTGGATAATCCTCAATGTTGCTGAGGATGTGGAGAAACAGGCACTTTTATATATTTTATAGTTAGATTGTGAATTGGTACAATATCTAGAGGTCAATTTTGCAATATCTATGAAATTTTTAAATTGCTCCAGCAATTCATGGATCCAAATGTACAAAGGGTATGAGGGCATAGGGAATTGTTTATTGCAGTGTTATCTGTAATAACAAACCTGAAAATGGCCAACTGTCTATTCATGGGCCTACTTAAATAAATTATTTATATACATACATACATTTAAAGTCTATGTACTAACTAAAAAAAAAGGTAAAAGGGCTATATATACCAATATGGAAAGATATCCTGATACACTGTTAATTTTTTTTAAAAATTGTGAAAGAATATTTATAATATAATTTTTTGTGTGTTTAAAAACATACATATACATATATATATGGAGGAAAAAAACATCTGAAGGGCCGCTCACCAAATCGTTAATATTAGTTTCTTCTAGAGCTGTGATTTGGGGAACTGAGAGAAAAGAGGTAACTTGTACTTTTTCCAGTACTTTCTATGCTGTTTGTATTTTTCACAAGGGAAATCTATTACTTTTATATTTTTAAAAAAGAACAGACTGATAAGATGCATCTCACCAAGGTAAACAAAGTAGGGAGCAATGATGCTGCCCACTCTGGAGGCCATGGACGTGATCCCCACAGCCTTGTTCCTGACCAGGGTTGGGTAGAGCTCTGCAGTGAAGACATACAGCATGGAGAAGGCAGAGGTGATCCCGAATTTTCCTAACATGGCCAGACCAATGGACAAGAAGTTGTAATCTGGCAAAAAGAGACCCAGTGTAAACAGAGATGCTTTTAGGAGCATTATTTTCCTAATTCAGTTGCTGATATTGTCCTTTTTGCTAATACAGGAATGTTTTATAATGTAAAAGTGTTCCCCCAAATTACGCTTTATCTTCAATGTCTTACTAATTGGACATGGACAAAGACAGAGTGTGAGGGGTTGCTTTGAGCTTTGTTCTTCTGAATCATTTATGCATTCAATGACCTTTGTCCACTTTTATTTACTACAACAGTTTCATAGTAAGCTGTTAGCATGTTAATATAGTTAAGTTTAATATTTGAAGAGAAGGACTAATCCTTTTTATCTTGTTTATTGTTATTAAGAAATATATATTTCTATGCATAATACTATATATCAATAATCAGTTGACTTAACATTTTAACAACATGAAAAAATTAGACATAGGGAAAATGAGAAGCATGTATCTTTTCATGTGGTTTCTAACTACTTAAAGATTACAGACCAAATTTATACTGGAATTGACATGTACTACCAACTCAGAGAGAAGGTCTGAAGGTACCAAGAAATTGGGAATCAGGACTGTGACTCAATGAGAGAGGTTTCTACAAGGGCAATTACCGGGAGCATTACTCTTCCTCTTCAGGTGGTAATTTCTGATTCTCCGAGGCTAACTTTTATGTTTGAGGGGAGTAATTTGAACACAGGAAATCACAGAGTTTACTATCACTTGTTTAATTGACTGATGAGTTGTTTATGATGTAAAGGCTACATAAACAGGGAGCAGTGACTAATAATTAGCCCAGTGAAGGTGTGGATTTTTTCTGGTAAGCTGTTAATATTGGATAATTTCTTACCTGCAGGTACCAATTGAATTAAGAGAAGCACACCTCCTGCAAAAAGCAGTACTCCAGCTATGACATAACACCTGGGCAGGGTTTGAAGTAGCAGCCAGGCTGTAACGTAAGCTGGAACTTCAATCAAGGCAGAGAAGAAACAGTTCAGGTAGGCATCGCCATGTAAATTAGGAGTGTTGAGAGACAGAGCAAAGTAACCCACTGAGGTTAGCATCCTGAAAGTCAAGAGAAAAAAGACAAAAATGACAAAAGAATGACTTGAATTACTTCACAGTTTCATGATGATCAAGAAATTGTCTAGATCCTCCTGCCTTACAAGCAGACACTAGCCACAAATAGCTATTTAAAAGTAAATAAATTAAAATTAAATAAAATTGTAAGTTCCATTCCTCAGTGTGGCACTAGCCATACTTCAATTGCTTAGTAGCCACATGTGGCTAATAGTTACTATGACGGACAATACAGATATAGAACATTTTCATCAGTGCAGAAAGTTTTATTGGACAGCTCTAGTCTAGATATGCCAATATTCAACAATACCTCTCCTAGTCTAGTTAATTTCAAGTTTCAATATTTCCTGAAGAGTGTACATTCTCATTCCTGCAGAGCTATTATTTGAAGAAGGAGTGTTGGTCACATCAGTGAACATAAAACCTGTATTTCATTCTTACCAAGAAGAAGAAGGAGAAGGGGAAGAAGGAGGAGGAAGAGAAGGAAGAGAAGGAGAAGCAGCAGCATAGGTAATACTGTGGGATCCACTTACAGTAAATTCCAACTGATTTAGTAAAACTCATTTTAGGGAAAAAAGAGAAAGCCCCATATTGCTTCAAAGTATCACAGAGTGCATATTTCCATATCCTGTCTTTATAGTTAACTTCCATGTAAAAGCTTCTCTGTGGAAGAAAAACCATACTATGCAGAAATTTGCTTATTATTAACATGACTGAAAAGCAGAGGGCTTCTGAAAAATGTTTTCAGGAACACTGTTGGATCTTTTTATACATACTCTACTAGGTTGGGTAGCACAAGAGCTAATCTAAAACAATTTTTAAAAACTGAAGCTTTAATTGCTCTAGGGATCTTAGTGATTTTCACATTAGGTAAGGAGAGTAGCCTAGATAAAACTAGTGACTAGTTTATTACTGGCTCAGTAGTGCCACTACTTGAGATACATTTCCATCAATGATATATGCTGACATGTAAGAACTAAGGAGGTCTATTTTGAGGAAAGCCATATGCCTAGGACACACTTGCTTAATTCAGAGGCATAAACTCTGTCATTGACTTCTTCTAATTGAAGAACAGGATGGCCCTAAAAATAGACAAGCTGCAGTCTGGACCTACTCTTTTTAGTGCTGCCATCATGGGGTAGGCATGTTCTTTTTTCCTTCTTCCTCATTTCTTGGCAGATACATTATTAAATCTAGTCTACAAAGTCAATTCAGTATTTCTATGCCTTAAAATCACTTGGTAGATGGCTATTAGCAAGTATTAAAAGATTGTCAAAACTCCAATCCAGGCACTGGGGATTCAAGTTATTCCAGCCTTACTCATCAGTTGCCAGTACAGCTTCAGGAAACAGGAGCTGAATTAGCATCTTGGCTTCAGGCACCAGGGACCTCATAAATCTTTATCCCAGGAACCTTGGGAGGGATGGGGAACCCTTTCCCTGTGGGTCACAGTATTGCAGACTTAAATACTGTCCCTTGTGACTTTTTTTTTTCAGTAACCAGTTCCATGAATTAAATTGAGGCCTTCCCAAATAACTTAGAATTTTAAAATTTTAGTTTCATCTCAGGAAGACCTAGGCCTTGCCCTGATCATCCCTTGAATTAAAGAAAATTAGCTGTATATTTACATGTAAAATCAAAAAACTAAATCTATTTAATCAAATGAATCTATATACAAAACAGAAACAGACTCACAGACATAGGAAACAAACTTAAGGTTACCAAAGGGGAAAGGGAGGGTAAGGGGAAAATTGGGAGTATGGGATTACTAGATACAAACTACTATACATAAATATGCAGCAAGGATTTACTGTATAGCACAGGGAACTATATTCAATATCCTGTGATAACCTATAATGGAAAATAATCTAATATATATATATATACACACACAACTGAATCACTTTCCTGTACACCTGAAAGTAACAGACCATTATAAATCAACTATACTTCAATAAAAACAATTGAAACTAAAAAGTTACAAGGCTCTGAGGTGGGGAATCTCTCCAGGATAAAATCTCTCTGTGGCCCTATGATGTGTGTGCAGTAAGAGGCTGAGGAAGGAATTTCTACTAAGAAGGAAGTAAGACTGCCAGACCTCATTATAGCAGGTGCTCCCCAGATATTAGCATCCTTCTTTCCAGAAAAAATCAGACACCTCCTCATGCAGCTTACAGCCATATGACCTTTTGGCTTTTGTACCACTTGGAGTATACAGCTCTAGAGCACGCCCCCGAAGCATAACCCTGTTATCACAACAAAGCAAAGCTCCTATGAAACTACTGGGAACTAGCAGTCCTCCTGGAGAGCTCTGGGGGTGGTGCCAGGCACAGACAGGATCATGCTAACGCTTGATGCTTCCACAGGACTTGTGAAAAATGCAGATTGCCAGGTCCCACCATGGGCCTGCTTCATCTGAATCTTTCCTGGAGACTGGCCTGGGAATCTGGATGTTTAAAGGGATGACTGTGATAAGCATCCAGGTTTGGAAACCTGAGAACAAGAACATTCTTGTATCCACTGCTTGTTTGTCTCTGGCCTGTACAGAGCCACTAAAATGCCTTTGGACCAGGCTGAAGGTGCTTCAGAAGAGAAGCCAGAGAAGCTCAACATCTCCTTCCAAGCTGATACTACTCTATATTTTTTCCTGTTCAAATTAATGCCACTGCCCCTTACATGAGATAAGAAAACACAGCTTTTAAGAGCACACACTTTGGCACCAGAAAGACTTCGGAAAAGCACAAGCTCCCTTTCCCTCCACAGGCTCATCTAGTTGACACTCGATGTGCCTTGTGGCAGGAAGAAACCAGGCGTGCTGTCACAAGCGAATTTTCACACTTGCCTTTATTTTTACTTGTCTGTAACTATTTATCTCTTCTATATTTTATTCTTGCTTTCATCCATGTAGGTCTGATCTTTAATACTAGACTATAAGTTCCTCAGAACAAGAGTCAGACCACATATCCACTAAATATCAACAAACACCCAGGACAGCTCTGAGATGCACAAGTGTTAGACACTCCCAATGTTATTTTTGTATCTAGTCAAACTGACAAAGGCTGGGAATGGAATTCTTGATCTGAAGAGCAAAGCATTAAGATATATTTGCCCTGGCAGCCCTTTGAGAGCTTGGGTTCATGGCCACTGTAATTAATCCTCCGGTCATCACCAAGGTATCTGCTCCTGTCAAAGGCCACAAAGACCAGGGATGGAGGAAGCCCTCAGGGTAAGGCACTGGCATGCCTGCCTCCCTTCACAGAGTCCTGCTTTCTGGGGTGGCCTGGAGCACAGATGTGAGCATGGGGAAAGCAAGCAGACTAAGAAGCATATGGTCTTGATGGGGTTTCCTGAGCAGCCCCCCACCCTTCTCCTAGCCAAGAGTGCCCTGCCCCACCCTCTCCATCCATCTGTGTGTCCTCCCTGGTTTGGACTCTTCAGCCCTGAGTCACTGCTTGCTTTCTCTGCTGGATCACAGTGTCCACTCACTGGGTACTTCCTCCCTCATGTCATCCTTTATCTTCCATCGAATCCTCTTGACACTCAGTTACATTCTCTGCTCCTTAAGCACAGAAACTATGTCTAATTTTTCTTGTTTTCTCTAGGAGTTGGCACGGGGCATGGCTGAGGACACTGTGAGTCCTCACTGACTGTCAGGAAGTGCATCTGCTTCCATAGGATACCAGCTGTTTTCTCGTGGCCTCCTGCCTGCAGGGGTGAATCCTCCAGCCTGAGCTCTCAGGCATCAACATGACACAGCAGGACTAAAGACATGCACAACTTCCTCAGCAGGCTTTGGTAAGATTCAGGGGACAGTGGGGAACCCGTGGGTGGAATACCCCTCAAACACATTTTTCCCACTTAAACTGGACATTTGAAAAACAGCTGTATGTATCTGCATCAATGGTATGGAGCAAGACCAACAAAAAGTTGAAGATAAGCTTGCAAAAGGGAAAGGAACTAGTATTTAATCAACACTTGTTCTTTGCTAAGCAGTTTACATATATTATTGCACTTACTTGGCCCACGGCCCTTTGAGGTAGGTTTTATCTCAGAACTTCATCATTATTGTGTCTCTAAGGCCTTGAACAATGCCTGGTACATAGTGGGCACCCAAAACATAGAGTCAAATTAAAGTCCATGATCAAGAATGCATAGATGATTTCAAGAGGAAACATCTGCAAAGGCTTACCTCCATAGGATCAAAAACCATGACTGGGACAGCTACGTTGTTCACTTTTGCAGCTTTTTGGATGGTATCTTCAGCTTCTTTAAATCTTCTCTGGGATATCAGCCACCGGGGAGATCAGTAATAAACCTAAAATTCACTTTTAATGGTTTATAATTTTTCACAGTAGCAAGGTTTGATGTTATTAATTGTACGTTGCCCCCGAGTAATTTTTATTTTGTAAAATGCTAGTTTGTCTTTTTAAAGAACATCAGGAGGGAAGCCTCATGTGAGTTCCATTGATTGTAGGAACAAATAAAAGTACCTTCAAGCTTCAAATTTTTGATCAAATCATAGAACCGATCATCAGTTGTGCTCGAAGCCCAGACCAGACTTTAAGGGGTAACACTAACTGTGGGCATGTTTAAGCCAGGGCAGCTGGAGTATGCCGTTCAAAACATCATAGCCAGTGTGGCTTAAGAGAAACACAGCCTAGGGTCTTTTCAGTGTGTCTATCCCTGGGAGCATCCCTGCTGCCCCAGCTGGTGATGCTCACAAGTTTATCGGGTAAGAGAGGGCATCTGTGTTCCTCAGGCTTTTCCGGCAGTCAGAGGAGGAGGTGAGCATACTGACATCCTCCTGCAGGCTGTCCCCAGGGCTTTCAACAGATTCCCAGCTCAGTGAGCACCCAGAACAGTTTTGGGGAGACAGACAATGTTGTCTTATTTTTTTTTAATGTCTAGAAACATAATTTTTTATTATACAATCTATCCACATTTTAAGTGATGCTCAAACACAGTTGACTTCTTTCCTAATTTTTCTATTTTTTCTATTTCTTTTCATCATGCTTTATTTAATTTTCCTATTCTTTCCTCGTTTTTATTTCTCAGAATTGCTTAGCCATCCTTCTGTCCGGTCTTGTTGCTCTTGCTTTCCTTAGCTATTTGTCAGTACTTAGTTATCCTAGAAAACAAGTTATATGTAGCAGATACCGAGACCTCCTGTAATTAATGGGCCCCTCCAAGGCCTCAGTAGGGATTACCTCAGAGCAAAACACAACATACAGAATGGCCAACCCCCAGCTTCCATTCCCAGCCTACTACTAGCATATGAGTTGAAAAATGAATCCAGTTTGCATTTTTCAGATTGTACCCTTAGTTGGTCCCTGTAGCAACTGTAATGATGGGAGGTCACTGACCTTCAGTAGTTAGAGCTGTGCCATCCAAAAGAACTTTCTGTGGTGTTCTGTATCTGAGCTGTCCAATAGAGCAGCCACTACACGTGTGACTATTGAGCTGGTGTGACTAGTAGGACTGAAGAAACTAATTTTAATTTATTTACTTTTAATTAAATGGCTGCCTGTGGCTAATGGTGACTGTATTAGTGCAGAATTAGCAGTTTTACCCCACAACCACCGTATACTGCAATGGGCACTTCTGCTTCTGAGAGATATCTTTTCCCAACCAGGTTGTTCTTAGAAATATCCTACCTTTCTTACTAGGGGCTCTCAGGGCCATCACTGGCCTCAGGTTCCTAATACTTAGTCAGCTAGATATTGCAGAGCTTTTCCCATGTTGCACCTGTGGGCTCCTTCCCCACCCATTAAGCACATACTCCATTCATACCTAGCCACTTATTGCCAAGCCTTTTAAGGGAATGTGGGACATAAAAAATCCCCAGACTACCTACAGTAGCTCTGTGTAGGTTCCTGCCCACTGTACTCAGGGTTGCTGCCATCTCTACTTTTGAACTGCCACGGTTTTTTGGTGCATGAAGAATCAAGTCTAGCTGATCATTTCAAGTTAGTGGAGGGCCAAATGAGGTTGTACACTCTAGCCTCTTCATAGATTTAATCCAGATTGAACAGGGGAAGGGTATTGCTGGAGAATTCACATCACATATCGAGTAGGCAGCAGGGATCACAGTAGTCCAAAGCACTTCCCACATCATCCCAGCCCACCCAGACGGATAAGCATTGCTTCAGAAAGTACCACCATCAAGGACAAGACATTCAAAAGAAAGCTATTTTGTTTTTATAGGAAAATGATAAGACAGTTGTTAAACTTTCAGGGCAAGCACCCAGCTTATTTGTCCTGGCCCCGGGCCGCCTTCTGTCTGGGGCAGTCCTGTCCCTGGTACAGAGTGCCCACAGCCAGGAGTACTCATGAACCAGCCCGTGGGCAACAGAAGGGAGAACACTCCTCAGGGCAAGAGTAAGGCAGCTCCTTGTGGGATGGACCTTCTTTGCTAGAAACTCAAGGGGCTGGCCTAGCAGAGCTGTTCCTTGCAGTGATGTTTGGTTCTGAGGCAAAGATCCAAGTCCCAGAAATTAAAACCCCTATTAGTCTCTTATGGCCAATCAGGGCCCTTTTATTTTTGTACTCTCTCTCTCTCTCTGATAGAATCATACACTAATAAGGATGATTATAACATTTTCAAAGTACTTATCTCTTATGCCAAAATGACAGCTAGAGCCAGGGAACACAGATTATTAAAAGCATTCATCTGAAGAGGCAGAAAGTAACCTTTGAATAATATTGTCTTATGTCTTGAGAGACCCTATGGTCACCAACATCTTTTACAATAAATTCAGTTAGCAAGGGGGTTGTGGAGAGATGGAGGGTGTGATGATGATGATGGTGATGACTCTCATTCCAGAAAACTTCCCTGCTCACAGACTGGGTCAGGAACTCAAAATAGTATCTACCCCCTAACACACTACCTCTCAAATTCTAGGGAAGTAAGAAAAAATTTCTCTCTCTCCCCCATGCACACCCATGCCAAGAATCTGCACTGGTTAAACCACAGCAGTCTTAGAGGCACCCAAAGGACAGTGGTTCGGAGTGGTCTAACTTGAGCCACGTGATCCAACAAGGCCAGGAAGTACTACCTGTCAGCCTCTACGGCTGCCTGACAGTTGCAGCAAGATGAAGGCCCTGCTGGGAAATCTCCTAAGGCAGTGTGACCACACGACGGGGCAACCACGAGGGCTAATGAGTTCCAAAAAATGACCATTGTGTGTAAGCAGGTAGAGATGAAGCAGTTCAGCAAAAAACAGTCACTGCTGGGAGATTTGACTATGATATCATGAGACCAAACCAAGACTAATTAATAAGAGAGAGAGAGAGAGTGCCAGACCCACCAATGGAAAAATAATCCCCTTTCCTCTTGCTTAAATATGAAAAAAAACAAAAAAATGAGGAATTCCCCCAAAAAGAGGGTATGGCTAAGGACTTTATTCCATTATTCTTAATCTTTTCTCTCACTTGAAATTTCCCACTTAATCACACTGGGTGAAAATGGGGCCAGTATCTCAACACTTTGTTATTCCTACACTGCTGTGTCAAAATTGGGCTGGAGGGTTGTAGGGGGAGAGAAGAAAACATTTCTCCAACAACTCATTAAACAAAAGCAATTCTCTCCCCCTTCAAGACAAAGCAGATAAACAGGCACATCTTAGATGCTAATCATCACATGATAGGGATGCTTGAAGAAGCTACATTAGTTGAAACCATAAGGAGAAAGAGGTTTGCTAGAGAGAGAAAAGTGTCAAAAGAGCAGGGCGGGGGCAAAATTAAAAACAACCAAGCCCACAGTATCATCTCCACAAACAACAACCAGCAGTAACAGACAAGAATGGGGAGAGCCTGAGTGGGAACTGGGTTTCCTGAGAACCGAGCTTTGTGGGCCGGTGGAGAATCACACCCCAGCATGCGGGCTCCCCCCATCACAACGAGGCAAATGGTCTCTGGGCTTCGAGGTCGCAGCTCACTGCAGTGAGATCAGCAAACCCATGCTAGGATCAGCACCAGGCTCTCGGCTCCAGGCTGCTGGCCCGCAGCAGGGGGCTGTCTGGGATGGAGCCTCACTCATCACCACAGCGGGACACACAGCACCCCGGCACTGTCAGCACCAGCAGCAGCATCCACCAGTCTCTGATGAAGTAAGCAAACAGTGGCAGCAGCATGTAGCCAACTGCAAAAAATGTGCACACTCCTAACGTAGAGAATATAATACAAACTGACTTGCCAAGAATTTCTGCTCCTGTTCAAAACAAGGGAGGAGTATTAGAATTTTAACTCATTTTAATATTTGCTTTTCACATCATTACCTGGCAGGCAGAGTTCAAAATGCAACCACGTAGGAAAGGGAAAAGGTGTTTGTTTTATGGCCTCTGCAGAGCAGGAGCAGTCAGGGTGGAGGAAGGTGGGAAATGACCCAAGACTTATCACCTAGAGAAGCATGAGTTTTGTGAGATTTTAAAGGAGTCATAGATTTTTATTTTTTTAAGGCCACCTCATGTCATAGAAACATCATGCCCAGCCCCAGGAGGTAATCTCTTCAGAGAATGTCATATTTCCAAAGTAAGAGCCCCGAGGTAAGTAACAGAAAGGGTGTCCCAGGAGATGTGGCGGCTCTTCCAAGGGCTGCATGCGTGGTGGTGCATTCAGCCCTTCCCACAATTCTCCACTGTAAGTAAGCAGACTCCAGTCTCTTGGGAAACAATGGAGCGTTCAGTTAGTGAGTCGGGTTAGGACACACTTAGCCATCTTCAGCCCTGGGAAACAATAAACGGGAGCCAGCTGGCTCTGGAGGAGCAGGGAGCAGGTCCCTGGCACCTAGGGCTGAATTCTGCTGCAGCAACACTGTGCCCAGGGATCAACCCCAGGCGGACACAGCCCATGCAGACCAAGGGAAGACAAGAAAGACCTGCTCTACTGGCCAGGCTGGCGACAGCCCTAGAGCTGGCCACACACTTTGGGGCTCACAGAGCTTTCCCACACCACCACAAAGGCCCAAGACTGTTCGGTGCCCCGCCCTGTTTTGGGAAAGGCTCCTGCTCTGCTCAGCACCACAGTGGGTGGTTTAGCTCCAGTTCTTCCAGAGACATTGCCTGCCCCTTGGGGCACTTGGTTTGAGACAGGGAGTCCAAGAACAAGCTCCTTTTGTTGTCACAGAGCTCCAGGCCCTTTCCAGAGTTTACTCTTGGTCCTCTGCCCTGGGGTGGAGATTTGGCCAATGGCAATGGCTCCATCTTTTGAGATCTGCCCATCACTATAGAGAAATAGCCCAGAAAATACAAAACAGACCATTCAAAGGTCATTCAGGCTTGGCTTTCCACAGAAATTTTCTCAATTGTGTTTATATGCCCTGAGCACAGGCTAAGGAATTAAGGGCTAATTCCAGAGCAGCAGTAAAATCACTACTTTGGCTGGTGTCTCTTTCTCGCCACCTGTTCCTGTCCCCACCTCTCTTCTTTCTCATTCAGCATAACTGAAGATGTGCCTCAGTGTTTTCCTCTTGAACTGCCGTTTCTAAAAGCTGGACTGATAGAAACGGCTAGTACTGTGTACTCCTTGCATCCCAGACTGCAGAGAGTAGCCTTAATCACACAGGGCATTTCTCAGCCTCTAAATTCACTTCCAGGGATAGGGCCAGACTTCTTTGAGGATCGTGAGTGTTATTTCCAGATCTTTTCTTACCTCATTAATGACCTTCCTACCACTTCATAGGAAGACTCACCATGCCATAGGGGAATGATATGGGAATGAATAGGGGGTGATTTATTCCTAAGCAGAGATTCAGAAGGGAAGCAGCAGAGGATGTGACTATGGAAAAGAGAAAGTGTACAGGACCAAGTGAAAATCTTGTAGACTCATGAGGCCAAGGAGCTCCCTTAAACTTCCATGCCCCTGATAAGAGAAGAGAGAGAAGTTACACCACTGGATTCCTGGATACTCTCCCTCTCTAAGCTTGGATCTCAGGCCAGAACAGAGCTGTTCTAACTTTGCAGAGTACTCACAGGGACAGAAGAATTATTAAATAAATCTACCCTGCCTCTGCCCTTCTGTGGAGCAACACGAATGGCACAAACCTGAATAATCCCTTGTTAGCACAACTTTACACTCTGACTTCTAGACAGTCACCTTTCCTTGAAGATTATCATCACCATCATCATCATCTTCTTCTTCATAGCTAGCATTTTTTTTTGAGCAGGCCCTTTGAGCCAGGTTCCAAGCTAAGTGTTTATGTATATTATCTCTTTGAGTCTTCACAATAATTACATAAGAACTAATATTGCTTCTATCTTACACATCATCAGCTGAGACTTACAGAGTTGAAGCTAATTGCCTAAATTCACAGCCAGGATTTTAGCCTGATCTGTTTGGCCTGTGGATACCATCCAGAAAAGAATCACCTAGGGTCAAAGCCTTGGCCCTATCAAGCAGTCCTTCAACTGAGGCTCCATTGGAGACATGTGTGGGAGATGGGTGAGGCCATACTTGCTTTTTAGAAGTTAGGATTTGCATTTTCTCTGCCTGGGCTGGTCTTTGAGCCAACTAGCCCCCTCAGAGGGACACTGGCAGAGGAGTCCTGATTCCTGCAGACTTCTCACGGCCTCCAGGTACCACAGATTTTCCATGTGCTTAGCTGGCAGTGAGATGGGTTACAGTGGTGACTTCTGGCTCTGCTGACTGGGGATCCCTGTCCTGGCCTCCTTTACCGCCTAGGTTTTTGCTCCTAGGGCAAAGCCCACTTGGTCTTGGTCTGGTTGGGCCTCTGAGTGGTCACTTAGGAGTGAGACTCCGACAACTAAGCCAGAGGGACATGGCCTGCAGGAGTGTTTGCCCACAGACTGTCACCACCACTCAAATCTGAGCACTCTCTCCAAGAGGGCGTGACTGAGAAAGGGCCAGGCTTACTTCCACGTTGATCAGGGCCGTTCTGTGGTAGTCAGCCCAGGAACCACTGGGTCCTTTCCACATGGAGGCAGGACCTGCCCTTCCATAAATGACCAACAGAGACCTGTAAACCCCTGCTCAAGAAACCAGAATGTGGTGCAGTTGCCAGGATGTGGAGCAGGACCCAGGGACCCCTGGGACGGGAGTGCCCTCTACTAGGTATATGCAGAGAGCATTGACGCTCGTGTGACTTTGATAGGTCCTACTTCATGGAGCTATTATTGTAAGGACTGAGATAATGTAGGTAAAGGGCCTGGGTGAGTGTCTGGTATGTGGTAGGTACTTAGGAATAATTCTGTTATCCCAGTCAAACTGTTGAAATGTGCCAGATGTCAGGGGAATGATGGAAAAGTACAGAGCCTTTGATGAAGAGACCCAGTGGAAGACAGCAGAACCTCTCTTTGCTCCCTGGAAAATACTCAGAATTCTTTTCAAATTGATAGGTGTTCCCCTGCTCAGGGCGTCCTCTCTTCCCTATATAAACTTTCACAGACCGTTCAAGTTAAAAGTAATCTTTCTTATCTCTGTATATACCCAGAAAAGTTATCTGAGCTCCCCTGACACATTGACTGTCTCCGCTGACCAGATGTGAGCCTCTTGCAGAGACACAGAAGTGAGTCCTTACTCCTCCCTGGGCTCCCCCAGTTCTGCCCTCACACATTGCAGGGAAAACAAGGGCTGCCAGAAAATTTTTGCATCTTTTCAGTGTATTTATATACCATCTTCTCCCTTGAGGGTTTTGAGGTAGCTTATAATCTGAATAAAAGTTTTAAATGGCTACATTAAAATAAAAAGCAAAGAAAGGTAAAAAGTTATGTGTTGGAGAAAAGAACAAAAACACACAATGTATCATTTTGGAAAACATTCTAGCAGTTCCTTAAATGGTTAAACATAAAATTCCCATATGACCCATCAATTCCTCTTGGAAAACAGCCTGGCAGATCTTTAAATGGTTAAACATAAAATTCCCATATGACCCAGCAATTCCACTTGGAAAACAGTCTGGCAGATCTTTAAATGGTTAAACATAAAATTCCCATATGACCCAGCAAGGTACATATCCAAGAGAACTGAAAACATAGATCCACAAAAAAACCTTGTATTCAAATGTTGATAACAACATTCTTCATAATAGCCAAAGAGTGGAAACAACCTAGATGTCTATCAACAGATGAAGAGATGAACAAAATGTGGTTATCTCCTACAATGGAATATTGATTAATGCTACAGCATGGACCAAACTTAAAAACATTAAGTGAAAGTAGTCAGTCACAAAAGCCACATACTGTACGATTCCATTTATCTGAAATATCTGGAATAGACAAATCCACACAGATAGAAAGTAGATTAGTGGCTGCCAGGGACTTGGGAAAAAGGAGAAGGGGGAGTGACTGGTAAAAGGGTTCCTCTTAGGGGTGATGAATATTTTCTGGAGTTAGAGTTTTTGGTTGTACAACTTTGCGAATATACTAGAAACCACTGAATTATACTCTTTTAAAGAGGTAATATTATGGTTTGCAAGTTCTATCTCAATTTAAAAATTATGTGGCTGACAAAGGCTTCATGATTGATATAGTGCAATTACCATCTTGCCTGAGCTTTCCAGTAGCCAAAGTTATAAAGGGAGGTGCCATCAGTTATGTACTTATCAAAGGAAAGAACACATTTAAACATCAGTAAATAGTAAATAGTTCAACATGGAACAAATACTGCATAGGAGGCTGATGTTAGTTGTACTGGAAAAATACCCAATTAATGGATCAGTGAAGGCAGGAGGCAGTGAAGTGTGCAAAATAATTTCAAGCAGCTAGTTATGAGAAAGGATGATGCCACTGGAGTTTTACCCAGAGGCTGTGGACAGGTTAAAGTTATTGCTGGGAAACAGTAGATTGTGAGGGGCAGCTGGAGTGTGGGTGGAGTCAGTGTCCTCGGTCCTGGTAGTCATTTCCTCCTGAACCAGAATCATTCTGGCAGCTTCCACGTGTGTCCACACTGTTCCTTTAAGTAAGGAACTGTTCCTTCCTTCCCTTTTCTTGTCTCCTATGACTCTGGCAAGCTTTACAATTGTTTTAAAGCAGAGCAAGGAGAGGATCTGTTTCTGCACCACTTTGGAAGTGGGAGTAATTCAGCATCCTGAATTAATGTGAATACTCCTAAAATGGGAGATTATCATCACAGAGTCTTGCCAACCCTTCCCTGGAGCCAGAGGGCAAAAGTGAAGATCCAGACAGAGCTCAGACCAGACCCCAAACTCTGGTTTCTTTTAGTTAAATAAAACCCGGAACTCGACTATTTCAGCCCTGGAACACCAGAGAGCGCTGCTGTGCTGTGGAAGCCTGCCCGCCGTGCCCTCGCACTGTCCCCCAACCCCGCCCCACCCCAGGTGCTGCTGACGAGGGAGTCTGGCTGCTCCAGGGGAAGGTTGATTTTCAGTGACACTCTTTAAATGTTCAGGCCTGAGAACAAAGTGTCTCAAACCAGGACACAAAACTCAGCAGTTTCCCAAAGAGCACAGTGGAGTAAACCTACAGCCAGGGAGGCTCCCAGAGCACCCTACAATAGCCCCAGACCCAGGCTGATAGGAGCCTGCTGCACCCAGCTTCCCACCTGCTGATTGCTGGTTTGTACATCTAGGCTCGGACTGATCTTACAGATCTTACTTTCCCCTTGGCCCTCTCACTCTTCTCAGCATGGAGAGCAGGGAGGGAAGTTGGTTACAGTATCAGGGTCAGTTGGGCAGGGACTTTACTGCAGGAGGCCTGGTGTGGGCTCTCCTGGCCTCATCCACTCACAGGGGAGGCTCTATGGCCCCAGAAACACCCTGTGCCACTGGAAAGACTGGTCTCAGTGCTGGCCATTCAGTAGAACCTAGGGGATACCATGCATGGCACACACGCCACCAGGCTCCTGATCCCAATGACAGGGCTTCTCAGGCTTCACTGTGACTCTGTCCCCTTCCACTTCAGAGGATCCTTTAGGTCCTCCTAAAGTCAGGCAGAGCCCTCTGTTTTGGGGAGGCCTGTTTAGTCTCTGGTTTGTTCTACCCCAAACAGCCACCCACTGGGCTTTCCAGGTATAGGGCATCGCTACAAGGAAGATGGAATATGCAGAATTTATATCATGAAAACAATAGATTTTGCTGTGCCCAAGACCCCTGTGTCCTTGGGACCATCAGGCATTAGGAGACTGCAATTTCTGTCCTAAATTCCTCCAATCTCCAGTTTCCAGCAAAACTGGCTGGAGGCTCTCTGGGGCCTCTACGTAACAATCTCCTTTGGAAATTCTTGCTCCCCTTTTTCCCCCTTCAGGGAGGAGAGAGCCCCACTTCTGCTGGGGCCGTGTGGCTTCAGCATGCCCCTCCTTCCTCCCCTCTTATGACACTATGGCTGGGCCTGTGGTGAGGGGCTCTTCACAAATGATTAAAGGAGTGAAATTTGAACAATTCCATCTTGGCAACCTGACAGAGGGTGTATGCATCCTCAACTTAGAGAACACAGCATCCTGAAAGCCAATGAGTCATCCAGACTCTTAAAAGTGATCAGAATCGTCTTACTAGATTCAGATTTTTGAGACAAGAAGAATCATTAGACTTACATTAAAGGGCCACTCTTAGTAATTACACTGTGACAATAGGGACAATCTGGGACAGCCAGGAAGGACATTTGATCACACTGGAGATTATGGGAATTGGTGCCTGTTGTCCCAGAGGTTCCCCTCTATCTCCTTCTCTCTCCAACTCAGAGGGAGCACGTAGGCTCAGAGAGCATGCTGGGGCCTCTCACTCCTGTGGATGACTCTCATCAACCTGCCTGGAGCTCACCCCACTGCCTCTGAGGGAAACCTGGTGAAGGGCCTTGGGGCCTCTTCATGGCCTTTAGCTTGTGAGGCCCCTTCATGCAGCCTGATATTCCAGAAGAAGGCTGCTGCTAGGATACAGGACTGCTCTCATCAGTGAGGGTCATCGTGCACACAGCTGTTAGGCTCTGGTTGTGGGCTCTGACTCAGGGTGAGACTAGATCTGCCCAATGATGGCAGACTGGTGCTGGACTCCTGTCTGGCACATGTCTCCTCCACCTGTGTACTGGCCACACCAACTATTCTAAGTCCTTCCATGGGCCATGACCAGCTGCCCTTTAGCCTTGTCCCAGGCAGAAGTCCCAAGCTTTCATAGCTCAGATCAAAGACATCCCTAGACTGTTGCTCCATTAAGATCCCCTCCTCTGTGTTTCTCCCAAGCCCTATGCTCCTGCAATGTGTCTCAGCTGGTTCCTCCCAGCTCCAGCTCTTATTTAGTGTCACATTTCAGGACTCAATACAGAGCTGGCTCCCTGTGAGTGCCTGCCCTGCCTGTGACAGATCAAAGAACCTGTAGCTATAATCCCCTCCCCAGCATATATACATCTGGAGCTTATCACATTTGGAAGCACAGCCGTGAGTTGAGGTGCTTCCTCCTATGCTGAGTAAAAGCACTCACTGTAACCTCTTCAGTGGCCTCCTCTTCCCAGGCCTCTCAGAGGGGTGGAAGGAGGAGCCCTGCAGTTCAGAAGCCATCCTTACCTAGTATGAAGGCCACCACATAGTTGGAGATCTGGCCCATGCCGACGATGACAAATAATACGGTGAACATCTCCCAGTTAATGGAAAAAATCTGCAGGAAGCTGAAGCCAGTCTGCACAGCCATGGTTATGAAGAGGATGGTCTTCCTGCCAAACCTGTAGAGTATAGCACAGCACAAAACATGGCCCATGCAGGTCACTGTAGCACACAATCAGGGTGTGTGGCAAGCCTTGAATCAGATATCGCAGAAGACTTTGTTTTTTCCAGGGATGTGACAGGCTTTCCTCCCCCTCACATCCTCCCAGGTTCCTTCTTGGTGAGACTTCAGGCATCCATCTGTCCAGGAGGTGACTTTTGAGATTCGGAGCCTCCTGTGGAGGCACCAAATCTCAAAAGCACATAACAGCTTATGCAAGGACCATGTGGAAATCAGCTCTTTAGAATGAGCCACAAGTAGAAGCTGCCACCATATTTCTGGAAAGTGGCTACAGTACAGACTAAAGATCTAGTATCAGCAACATGGGAATTCTGTCAATCCAGAACCAAGAGTCTCTCTATGGCAGTGGTGTTCAACCTTGGTTGTGCTTGGAATCACCAGGAAAGCTTCAAAGAATACTGGTGTCAGCAACCACCTTCCTCAGTTCTTACTGTCTGGCTGCAGACAACTACATGCATTTCGGCTTAAAAAAATTTCCCAAGTGACTCTACATGCATCCCAAATTGTGAATCACTGCTCTATGGGAAGTGTAGCTTCCAGCAATGTCCACTAGGGACACTGTAGTGGGCTTGCCTTAATTTCACATTCTGATAGTGTCCAATGGATAGAACGGAACATAGGTGTGAGCAGAACAGTCTTCCGCCCAGTTTTCCAAACTCAGGTATCAGGCTGTTGGGCTTGGAGTCCCACTGGGCTTCATAACTGGGGGAGGGACAGCCACTCCCCTGGGAAGTCTTCCCCAACACTGCCACTGAGCACTCCCATTTTCCTGCTTGGGTTCCCATAGAATATTCAAGGGCCATTGAGGGCACATCTTCTGGAGCTGTGATGCTGTCTGCTCCGGACTGCACTCCAGGAGGCCAAGAACCAGCCTGGATCAGCTCTGTGGCCCCAGTGTCCAGCCGGGGGCCTGACCCATGGCAGAGATGGGTGCACAGTTAGCGAGCAGGTGCTCACGCTCTGGTCTGACTCTGGCTGATGGCTGGTTGTGGACAGATCGCATGTCATCCAAGAGTTAGGGGTGCGGTGGGGAGGCAGTGGTGAGACAGCAGCAGCTTTTTTTGAGGAGTTTGGTGATATAAAGACTCCACTTTCCAGAGGGTCCCAGCAAGAGGCTGAGGGCAGGGGGAACAGGAGATACTGTGGTTTCTCCTATCTCTCACTTGGTGGCCTAACTGGCCTCTCTTTCCCTGGGTGAAAATACCCTAAATTCAGTTCAAACCAAAGATAGGCAGTGAATGGAAATCACCTTTCCTCCCTCCCAGCATCCTTACCTGTCTGACAGCTGCCCGGACATAAAGGACCCGAGGAGCACGCCTACGAAGAACAGGGAGATGGTGAGCTGCGTCTTCCAATCATCCTCACACGCCAGATTCCACTGTCAGGGAAAAGCGTGAAACGTTAGCCCAACCCCTCAGCAGGCCCAACCCCAACCCAGCCCAGAGGGCATATCAGCATGGCAGCCAGGCAGGCTCTCCTCCCCTGGGCGAGGCTGTAGCTTTTGTGCAAAGGGCACAGGCCTCACAGCCCTGGGGTTGATTCCTGACTGTACCATTTACTGGGGCAAGTCAGGGTCCTCCCTGAGACTCACCCTCCTGTTCTGAAGGGAGGGTGATGAGTGTGGCTCTGCTTATGTTTGTGTAGTGAGAAGCCAGCTGAGGCATGGCTTTGACTGGTGACCCCTCAGCAAAGGTGGCATTTCTGCTTCAGAAGGCATCCCAGCACAGAGGGAAGGTGTTTGAAAGGCCTCAAGGGCAGGGTAGAGGGCATGGTCACTCAGTCCAGGTGTACAAGTTTCCTTTACCTTGTTGAAAAGTGCAAGTGGTCCCTGGGGCCTGTGATTCTGTTTTCTGAATGAATTCCTCTAGAGAACCCTGTGCTCTCTGGCCCACTAACACCATTGGCCCAGCTTAGGGCCTGATCCAGGGCCCCAGTGTGCTGGGGGTGGGGTTCCTACCCCCTATGCAGTGCTCCTTATCTCCCCTCTATACTCCTCCACCCTCCTTCCCATGCAGCCCTAACCCAAGTGTGGTCCCTCCATGTCCCCGGGTCTGGGGGCTATGATAGCCCTAAACAAGTCCCTGCTTATGGACCCATAAAATGAGAGTTTCAGCCAGAGTTTCAGTTCCCAGCTCTTGACTTAGGGCAATTCAGCAAAATCTCAAGGGGAGGTTGCAAAAGTTTCAATGGGTGTTCAGGGAGCTTTCATTAATTAAAAAATAAACAGATGCCCATAAATATTTGGGGGCTGTGGGTCAGGGGGTTGCTGCACGAGGCAAGATGATCCCATCTACAGGGAAACCCCCTGCCTCCCACCCAACCCCAGCTCCACTTGGCAGTGGTGCTGCTCCATGACATTCCCAAAGCAATTTAGCTGTTAACTCTCACAACTTTCCTGAAATAGATGTAAAAATGAATTCACATATTTATATCATACCTCATTCTGCAGCAGAGAGAGGTATATAAGGACACACATAAGAGAAATGTGTACAACAAAAAGCTAAGGGAATTGGGGCAAGTGGGAATCACAGGGGAGGCGGGGTTGCAAAATAACCAAGCCAGGGTAAGACTGGCCACTGGCTATACTGCCCAGGGGCCTGTCTGCTTGCCAGGGAAGCCCTGAAATCTGGCTTTGAATATCCCAGCAGCTCAGCTCCTGGATCACTGTGCAAATGATCCACTCTGGATCATTCCACAGAAGCTCAGTTTTTCTAAGTACTGAGACCCAAGAGAAGTCTCTCCTATATCCTTCCTTCCACAGAGGGGCCACTCTGTGATGTTGAGGATAATGTCTTTGAGAACACCCCCATCCTGGACACAATAGCAAGATTCAATAGAGTCTGCCTCTCCCGGTGCCCACAATCCTGGCCACAGGCTGGACGCCCAAGCACAGCTCTGCCGAAGAAAGACAATGAGGGCCAGGAACTCAGATCTCTACCCCTCAGACACAACTGAGGATAAGTCTGAGACCATAGCCAGAGTAGGGTTGCTTCAGCTTGGGCCCCTGAATGGGCTTCATGGGAAAGGGCACAAACCCTCCAAAACTGTATGGCCAGATTCGTGTGCCCTCCCTGGCCATGACTCAGAAGTAGACAGGACATGTACCTGAACTAATGGCCGACTACTTACAAAAATCACTTGTCAAAGTGTCAAAAAAGAGCCTGAGATCTGCCCCAACACACAGAGATTAGTGATTGAGGCCCCAAAGCCTCATGATGTGGAGTGTGACCCATTGTGCAGAAGAGTAAATGTAGGCTCTGAGACTGGTGTTTGCCTGAAGTCATAGCAGGTAACTAGGCAAGCGAGACACCAGCTCCAGCCTCAGAACTCAAACTTGTAACTGTCTGCTTTGGACAAGAATTCCAAAGGCCAGACAAAGTGAGTTTATTACATACCACCCCCTGTACTTCTTCAAGGAATGTGACCCCAGGACTAGGGACAGAAGGCCTCCACCACAGCCTTTAGCCTTGGACAGAGCTGAGGAGGTCTCGAGTTTAGTAGGGGTATTAATGTGTCCATTATCAATGATCACCATTCATCTGTAGTCAGGCAGAAAAGCTCTTCCAAAGGTAATGTGCTCTCCTTTCTTGTTCTTTTTAATATTTTTGTCAGGATATTGCCTTAGGGGAGGATAGATAGGACTTGGAGACAGAAAAGAAAGAAGAAAGCTGTCAGATGAGGGGCCAGGCATTGCATGGGCAAAGGTAGTGAGCAGACCTGGTGACCTAATTTGCAAGCCCAGTGCAAACAGAAAATTCAGGATCCCCTATTTAAAAACAGTTAAGAATTTCAAGACGTCGATAGCAGAGAGTGAAAACTAAGTGGGAGCCCCTGTGTGACTGCACAGATTGATGCCCAGGAAGCTGGCCCTGGTAGTGGGTCAAGCCTGGTCTCTTTAGGAAATGGAGTAAGGAAGGAAGTTCTGACTTGGGTGCTGAGAAGCGTGAAGTGAGGGCCAGCTCTGCATTGCCCTCCTACTGGAGGCCATATGGCCATGGCTCCAGGTTCCCCTTCCCTCCCTGAAGAGGGGCCCAAGAAGCCCTGTCAGCATCATGTAGCGCAGAAGGTGGCCATCTGCCCTAGGCCTTGGAGGGTGCTATATGTCTTTGGAGCTCTTGCTTGCATGTGGCAGGAGATGACAGCTGGATCTCATGGCTACCCATGGTGGGTTCCAAGGCTGGGCTCTCTTGGGGAGTTACTGTACCCAGAGCCTTTTTAGAAAGCTACCAGAGACCTGGTAATAGGACCTGAGATTGGCAGATAAAGTTCCAGCTGTGGCTCATGGGACTGGTGACCAATAAATTGGCTGCCAGCCTAAAGAGGGGCCCTTTTCTCCATGGGACTGTTTTTGGGGAGGCCAGGCTCTGCCTGCCCAGCCCCTTGGGGATTTTAGGAGTGTGTCTTGGAGCCCCGCTAGCCAGGTCCCAGGAAGCTCCCTGTGTTAGTAATGAAATGGCAGGACCAGTGGAAGATAATCCTTTCCTTGATGAGACAGAACTGTCCTGTGGGTCTCTGCACATGTGTGTACACACATGCACACATACACAAACATACATACACAGGGTCAGCTCAGAGCATAATAGCTGATGGCCTGGTGAGGAGCTGCCCAGCATTGCTCTAGAGCTGTACTTTGAGGTCAAAAACTACCATTTCTGAAACACAACCCACACTCACACATGCCCTGGACAGAGAGTGGGACATGGGAACCATACAGCCCAGAGTGGATAGGGTTAGGGCACTGGATGTGACCTTGCAGGGTTACTGCGCCTGTCTCATTCTCAAGGTCTTAAACCAATGCTCCCCAGCAGAGCAGAGTAAGCTCCAGTTGGCTGGACCATCTAGCCTTCAGCTCTGCTTTAGTTTGGCCTAGAAGAATATGCTGCTCATGGTCTCAGCAGCAATAATAATAGGAATGATGAGTACAGTGTATTGAGTGCTCACTGTGTGTCTTGTATTATCTCATGGGATTTCAAAGTTGCCATATGAAATGGGTGCTCTCTTTATCCCCATTTTACAAATGAGGAAATGAAGGCACAGAGCAATGAAGTGGCCAGCACAAATTCTAGAGGATTGGTAAAAGGAATCGCTTAATCATTTATTCAGCTGTCATTGAGCACCTGCTCTGGGCCAGACTCTGTATGGGTCACAAAGCAGACATAGTCACTGCCTCCACAAAGCTCAAGATCAAGCATACCTCACAGGACAGATCAGGTGTGCACATGTGCATGCATGAACCTAGCAATCCTGGGTGGGGCAGGCTTTGTTCTGGGCCACTAGAAGCCTCACTCTCTGGCTAGAGAGGAAACGAGGCACCCCCTGCTCATCCTTCTCCAGATGGACAGAATTCTAAAACCTGAACACATTCATATAATCATTTTAGATAACTGATGCTTGCACAAGGCTAAGCACTTAAAGCATAGGATACTTAATATAATGGATACGTAATATAGTGGATACTTAATATATTGTTGATGAACAAATGTTGTACAATTAGGAGTAACAGAAAATAAGTTTGGAAATGTCCTTTGAAATCACTGTCAACCTTGAACTCCCCCAAGTAGCCAAAGTCGAGCAGTTTTAGCCTTTCCCAAAGCCATAAAGGATCATAAAGATAAGTGTATCTCTGTGACCTGCATCGGACTGAGAATCTGGAAGGCAGCCTGATGTTGAGCAAAGAGCATAGGCTCTCTCGGGTTCTGCCACTTCTGGCTGTGTGACTTTGGGCCACTCATTAGCCCCCTTTTTCAACTTCAGAGAAGTGACAATAATACTCCCTCCTGAGGTTGTCGTGAGCATTGGACAGGGAATGTAAGTAGAGTGTCTGACACTAACCATCACAGGCCTCATTAAATGGTAGTTCCCTTTCTAGTAATCTCATGCCTTTGTCCTAAGCAAAACCATGACGTACAACAAGCAGCATTAATGAGTAAGCAAAGCAGGTTACACTTAAACCTGACTAGGCAGAAGAGATTCTTAGAAATAATAACTTTATATTCAATGACTAAAAACTAGACAAGCTTTTACCACAAGGTGTAAAATCTCTTTACAAATGGACTTCAATCTCAGAGATGACTGTGAATGAAAAATTAGCTATAGTCCATTTAAATGAAAAATGGATTTCTCTTGTAGTTATTTTTTCATTCTGGGGGGAAAATAGGAAGTAGTAGTTAGTTAATAATAGATTATACATTCACTCTAATTTCCTTTTTATAACTCAGTTGCAGATTTAAAGCTGGAAATTTCCTGACCATTGTAGGGGAGGAGGGGGAGCTGGCTATTTAATTCTTTTTGTATAAGAGCTTTATTGAGATACAATTTATATACCATAAAATTCTTTTTTTTTAATGTCTACAATTCAGTGGTTTTTTTACTATAATC